AATTGGAAGTAATACATTTGGATCTTCTATGATGGCAGAAACATTCTCTCTTTCGCCAAATATTTGTCATCTATAGATGCACATCAAAGGCAGTGAAGCAGGTTTCGGTTTTTAAAATTTGGGATCTAGTGACTATTATCAACTAATGTTCTGTCTATAAGTTACATAATTTCTTGTATGCCACAGGCAGTGCATCGACAAATCCCAATACTAGTACGAACTATGGGTTCATCTTTAGATCTCCTTGAAACTATTTCGGATCCTCCAAACGGAAGCGAGAATCTTCTAATGCAGGTTTACTGTTTTACCTTGTATAATATTTCATTGGTTTGAAATTTTTGATATATATTGAATATTGATAATTTTACATTGAAATGTTAGGTGTTGCATACACTTACAGATGGTACGATCCCTTCTAAGGATTTAATAAGCACTGTGAAAAGGTTGCATGATTCAAAACTCAAGGTATTGTGAATTGTTGTCTTAGCAGTTTCACATTGAAACTTAGGATTATGGTTAATAGTTTGTTGATTCTATACAGGACGCCGAGGTTCTTATTCCGGTATTACCATTCCTATCAAATGAAGAGGTACTCCTTATTATTCTTTCAATTGGATGTAAAATTCATTTTTTCTTTTTTATAATAATTATGATTTATCTATATACTTAAGAGTTGGGAGAGAAACCAAAACTTTATTATTATTTTCTCTTAACCCTAATACATCACTAATCATACTTATATAAGAGATATGAATAGTAGTTCAGCATAAAACAAAAAACAGAAGGCTCCTAAAAAGCCTACTACTAAAATACATTACATTTCAACATACATAAAGAATATTAAACTCTAGGTAAGAGAGAAACATTAAGTTGAAACCGTGTTCTTTTAAACATCAGAGGTGCCTTATTTATTTTGTGAAAAAGGAATCAATACAACAAATATAGGATATGATATGCTCTAATAACAAAGTCATTAGAGTAAATAAAAGCAATCCTAATAGTATATATATAATCTTGATGTTTGTGATTGTATAAGACTAGGTTCTTACATCTCTATATTATAATACTCTTTCTCATGTTGAAGCATGTAACTCGTATGTTATGAGTACTACAAAGGTAATGGATTCTTGGTGATCTAGTTAGCCAATTGTTCACTAGGATTGACAAGTTTAGTGGTGATCTAGACTCCGATTGTTCCTTAGAAAGTAACAATCTACCTCAATATGTTTAGTCCTATCATGAAAGATATGATTAAAGGAAATTTGTAATGCTGCCTTGTTGTCATGTGCAAGGTGCATTTAGGAGCTCTCTTCCAATTTGAGCTTTTTGAGGAGTTGCTTTTATCCATATGAGTTTTTCGAAGGCATTCTTAATATACTTAGGATCACACAATGATATCCCAATTGTCGTAACGGGGAGAATTTAAATATTGACTTACTATGCCATAGCAAAAGAGAAGTTAGGATGAGTCACAAAGAGGTAATTTAGTCCGCCAACTAACCTTCTGTATCTCCTAGGATTAGAATATGGTTCTAGTTGGCCAAGTGGAAATTTGACACTCGGATCCATTGGTATTTCCAAGGCTTAGTTTATCATCCCCAGTTCTTCTAGAATGTGGAAAGCATCTTTTCCCTGTGATATAACCAAACCATCCGTGGATTGTCCACTTCTATACCAAGGAAATACCTTAGGTGGCCAAGATCTTATATATGATACTTTTAAGCAATATATTGTCTGTCACATAGTGTCTTTCTTAACAATGCGTACACATATACAATGAGTTGGATGCATGTAGAGAATCACAATGAAACAGAGAAAAATGTATTATACAAAATTGCTAGGTGATAGTCCAAAAGTGCCCAAACCATGCATAGGTGGAATTCTTAAGCAACAAACCCAAGAGATATAACCAAACCATCCTAGGTTATTGATAGGCTTCTTTTGTCAAGAAGCTGATCAACACTCCTTAACTCTCAAGCACACACGAAAAGACACAAAACATTATGTATATTATTGATGTATGAGTGAAACAATGTACAAAGAATCACCTCCCAAGGAAGCCTCTCTCCCTCCACTGGAACAATCCAGTCTATACCAAAAGAATACAAAATGAATGATCCCCCCCTGTACAGAACACACATTATTTATAAAGTCTTTCTTCCCCTTCCCTCTCACTAACTAACTGACAAACAATTCTTCCTTCGATCCTAAACCCATGATATCCTATCACCTTATATCCTATAATATTATATCCTATCATTACACCCCACTGCAAAACAACCTTGTCCTCAAGGTTGGAACCGTGAAACTTGATCTCATGGGTCATCTTCATCAACGTGTTATCATATGAAGGGAACCCACTGGTTACTGCTTGCAAGTTTAGATCTGGAGGCTTGGGTGGTGGCAAATCCTCCCATGACTTCTTCTCTTCCATTAATAAGAACTGCTCCTTTTCCAAGATTCCCTTGGACCATATGACTGTTCTATACTGCTTTTTGACATGGTGACCTCTTACATTGTAAAGTATGAGTATCACAGTTTGCTCTGGTGACCTCTAACATTCCTGAAGTTTCTTTCCTACCATCTTTACCTTCCACCATTATGAGTAATATAAGATGGCTAGTTAATAAAGATTCTGCAAGAAACCTGGAAATTCCTTTGTGGCCATTGCTAGAAGCTAGATCTGCAGGTGTTATAACCTCAGGAATTTCAGGATATGGATCTGTAACAACCCTAGTGGATGCACCCATGGACACCCATACCACAACTAGGTCACTTCCTGACACCACTGTTTCAACCCCAGGCCTCAACATTTCTTCGCCTTTCTTCATTGTTTTGACATACCCACCAAAACCTACCACTTTATCTTCACTACAAACAACAACTTTTGTAGCTTTACTTGGAGAAGCAAGAGTCTCAGCCTTCCCATCATGGTCTTCACCTGATGTATTTTCCCTACCAACATTTGTCACATTATCCACCCTTATAGCAGCAACTTCTGCCACTTTCTCCACAGTCGCCACATCACAATTTTCGTCATTGCCTTCCTCTTCACATATATTTTCTTCTTTAATTCCAATATTTTCACGTTATCCATCCTTACAACAACACCTTCTGAGACTTCTGTAGTTTGGGCTAACTTCTCAAAAACAGAACCTCTATCTCTTACTCTGAACCTCCTTATCAGTACCTCTACTTGCTTCCTCCAATTCCATTGCACTTTTACCCTGTCTTCCTCCAGCTCTTCCTCTGAACCATCTTTCTTTCCTTTTATGATAGATTTCTCACTTCTTTCTGAGCCCTTTATGTGAATCTTGATTTCATGCAACATTTCTTTTATTTCTTGGATATCTCTTCTCCATTATGCCATCCCATTTTTTATTCGCTGGCCCTCGTCTCCAAGGTATTGTCTCTTCCTTCCATGCTTCCACCCTTTCTTGATCACTTCTTGATTCGACAGTCCTCTCCTAAGGATATCCGACATTCCTCTCCTAAGGCTATTCGGCAGTCCTCTTCTAAGGCTATCTGGCAGGTCGGACCAAACTTGATAGGCTTCTTTTGTCAAGAAGCCGATCAACACTCCTCGACTCTCAAGCACACGAAAAGACACAAAACAGTATGTATATTACTGATGTATGAGTGAAACAATGTACAAAGAATCACCCCCAAGGAAGCCTCTCCCCCTCCACTGGAACAATCCAGTCTATACCAAAAGAATACAAAATGAATAATCCCCCCTGTACAGAAAACACACTATTTATAAAGTCTCCCTTTCCCTTCCCACTCACTAAGTAATTGTCAAACAATTCTTCCTTCTATCCCAAACCCATTATATCCTATCACCTTATATCCTATCATATTATATCCTATTAGTTATCCACTTATGTACCAAGAAAATTCCTATGGTATCCAAGATCTTTGTATGGAACTTTTGAGCAAGATATTTAGTTGTATAACGCCCTCCTTATCTTTGTCTATGATAACAATGCGTCCTCATATACAGTGAGATAGATACATCCTTGGAGAGAATGATGTTTAAAAAGAGAATAATGTAGCATTCCAAACTAGTGGATGATAATCTGAAATACCAAAAACCATATCGGGACCTGCATATGAGAAACCAATTAAACGATTCCCCCTTGAGCAACAAATCCAAGATGTTGCTTTATGCTAATGCACATAATGATGGTGATGGGGAGAGATAGTAAAGACAATATGACTCACATTTGATGCCAATTGTTCGGCTTGACATCTGATGTTGCAAGGTACCATTATATTGTGAGAATAATATCATGGGATTGGGTTAATCAAGTAACCTATTGTAAATTAAAAGGACTATGAAGGACATGAAGACAAAATCGGAGGGGTTTTGGTACCAATGTCCCAAGCCTGTGTTTGTGAACCAATGACAATAATTACAAAGGGCTAATTAACAAAAATAGTAGTAAAAGCAATTACAAGATATGTGATTAGTTGAAGCAAAGCTAATGATCCAAGGACCAAGGGAGATTGAGAAAGACGGATGAATTACCAAGTGTACCACTAGTGGATTGGTGAGTCTCAATATTTGATAAAGTTTTCAAATTTTGTTGGGGATAGATCAATTGGTAGTGTAGAGGCAACAAGTGATTCTACTGTTGATATCGGGGAAAGAGGCAACAAGTGATTCTACTGTTGATATCGGGGAAAAGTGGTGTGAACGAGGGAGTTTCCCATGCACCTTCTAATNCACTACAAACAACAACTTTTGCAGCTTTACTTGGAGAAGCAAGAGTCAAAACCTTCCCATCATGGTCTTCACCTGATGTATTTTCCCTACCAACATTTGTCACATTATCCACCCTTACAACAACAACTTCTGCCACTTTCTCCGCAGTAGCCACATCAATGTCTCCATCACAATTTTTGTCATTGCCTTCCTCTTCACATATATTTTCTTCTTTAATTCCAATAATTTTCACGTTATCCACCCTTACAACAACACCTTTTGTGACTTCTATAGTTTGGGCTAACTTCTCAAAAATAGAACCTCTATCTCTTACTCCAAACCTCCTTATCAGTACCTCTACCTGCTTCCTCCAATTCCACTGCACTCTTCCCCTGTCTTCCTCCTCTTCCTCCTCCAGCTCTTCCTCTGAACCATCTTTCTTTCCTTTTATGATAGATTCCTCACTTCTTTTTGAGCCTTTTATGTGAATCTTGATTTCCTACAACATTTCTTTTATTTCTTGGATACCTCTTCTCCATTCTGCCATCCCCATTTTCTATTCGCTGGTCCTTCTCTCCAAGGTATTGTCTCTTCCTTCCATGCTTCCACCCTTTCTTGATCACTTCTTGATCCGATAGTCCTTTCCTAAGGCTATCCGACAGTCCTCTCCTAAGGCTATCTGGCAGGTCAGACCAAACTTGATAGGATTCTTTTGTCAAGAAGCCGATCAACACTCGTCAACTCTCAAGCACACAAGAAAAGACACAAAACAATATGTATATTAATGATGTATGAGTGAAACAATGTACAAAGAATCACCCCAAGGAAGCCTCTCCCCCTCCACTGGAACAATCCAGTCTATACCGAAAGAATACAAAATGAATAATCCCCCCTGTACAAAACACACTATTTATAAAGTCTCCCTTCCCCTTCCCACTCACTAACTAATTGTCAAACAATTCTTCCTTCTATCCCAAACCCATTATATCCTATCACCTTATATCCTATCATATTATATCCTATTAGTTATCCACTTATATACCAAGAAAATTCCTAAGGTATCCAAGATCTTTGTATGGAACTTTTGAGCAAGATATTTAGTTGTATAACGCCCTCCTTATCTTTGCCTATGATAACAATGCGCCCTCATATACAGTGAGATAGATACATCCTTGGAGAGAATGATGTTTAAAAAGAGAATAATGTAGCATTCCATACTAGTGGATGATAATCTGAAATACCAAAAACCATATCGGGACCTGGATATGAGAAACCAATTAAATGATTCCTCCTTGAGCAACAAATCCAGGATGTTGCTTTACGCTAATGCACATAATGACGGTGATGGGGAGAGATAATATCATGGGATTGGGTTAATCAAGTAACCTATTGTAAATTAAAAGGACTATGAAGGACATGAAGACAAAATCGGAGGGGTTTTGGTACCAATGTCCCAAGCCTGTGTTCGTGAACCAATGACAATAATTACAAAGAGCAAATTATCAAAAATAGTAGTAAAGGAGGGAAAAGCAATTACAAGATATGTGATTAGTTGAAGCAAAGCTAATGATCCAAGGACCAAGGGAGATTGAGAAAGACGGATGAATTACCAAGTGTACCACTAGTGGATTGGTGAGTCTCAATATTTGATAAAGTTTTCAAATTTTGTTGGGGATAGATCAATTGGTAGTGTAGAGGCAACAAGTGATTCTACTGTTGATATCGGGGAAAGAGGCAACAAGTGATTCTACTGTTGATATCGGGGAAAAGTGGTGTGAACGAGGGAGTTTCCCATGCACCTTCTAATATCTATCAATTTAATGTCCATTGAGGTGACAATATTTGCATTTTGAACCATTTTTTGAATTATGTATGTTGGAGTGTTCAAAATGATTACTTTGTCATGTGAAGTCAATGTTTTCCCCTATGGATGATTTTTGTGGCTCTGCGCTTACATTTTTGAAGAATGCGAACGAGTGCAAATGATGTGGGTGTCGTAGTAGGCTTTACTGGTTATCCCAAAACCTGATTAGGGTAGCAACATACTCTTGTGGCAAGCCATACAAAGCCCTAGGTCATAAAGAACATACTGCGGTAATCAAATTCCTTCACATACACATGGTTGAAGGAGCTCATCAAAATCATGCAAGGCAGCATGAAGCTGCCTAGGATAAGAAAATGCAAGACCCTCGAAATGTTGTGGAGCTAGGTAGTGTAGATCTTGGCACATGCCGTACAAACATGTGTCATTGGTATAAATGGCAAGATTTTCACTCCAAATTGGTATGTATGTCACACGGGGACAAAAAGACGGGTTTTACTGAGATCTGAATAGTGGATCTAATAACAATACAAAATTTAGCATCAAACTCTTTTCATTGTTCTCATTTTATGTAGGAATGAATTCAAGGCTCTAGGTAAAATTAAATATTCAGCTGGAACGTGTGTTTCTAAGATAATACGAGTGTTTTATTTATATTGTGAAAATGGAATTGATACAATAAATAAAGAGATTTGATGTCCTCTAATAACAAGGTATTATATGAGAATAAATAAAATTGTTTCTAATAATACATATATAATCTAGAGGTATTCTTGATTATGTAGGATCAGTTCATTATTTCTATAATTATAATAAAGAAAATTGATTTCACTTAAACAAGACTTGTTTTTCTTCTACTTCCTATATCTTGAATGACATTGTCTTTCCTTTGGCCGACATTTTTTAACAATTCATTTGTCAGGTAATACCGATTTTTCCTCACATTGTGAATCTTCCTTTGGAGAAGTTCCAAACAGCACTTGGTCGCATATTACAGGTAATCATTTGTTTTAAAATTATAGTAGAACTTATTTAGAGCTACAACCAAGCATGGTAGTTAGTATATTTGTAATAGAATTCATACTGTGTGAGCCATTTATCGAAACTGGATTAGGAACTCAAACAAGGAAACTGAAAAGTTTGTATAGAAGTTTCAAAAGTTTACAGATACACCGCTGACACTTTGAGGATCCAGAAACCTCCCGCTAATCAACTAATATTTATCACACCCAAGACCTGAACAACAACAAACTTAACTACTAACAGATTTTACAGCTGTTTGAGTTAAAAGCATTAGCTGTGTTTTTTCTTTTTCCTTGTTTCTTCCTTCATAGACCTTCGTGTAGAAGGTTGTAACCGAACAATACCCGCCCCATCAAGATGCACCTTCTCCCCAAAGTGGAATTGTGGAAAATGTTTAGTGAATACAGAAACTTCCTCCTAGTTGTGATTCCTGCTATACAATATCAGGATAATTGAGTTTCATGTTGCTTCTCCTCAAAAGTAACTTCCCCTGTTTTTGTGCTCTTCTTCTTCCTCATGCCCTTCTATTAATACCATGGCATTAAGTTGTTTGTTCTTGCATTCATGATTCACATCCGTTTTGATATTTTCTTGAAGCTCTGACTATGTCAACCTTTTAAAGTTGCCTTTATTGTGACCATCACTGTTAGCCTTTATGTCATTACTGCCCTTACTGGTAACAGATTGAGAAAAAGAATTTGCTTCTTATGATGATCTGGGTGGTGCTGAATTCGTCCCTGCCATTGATCCTGGAGGTGGTTATCCATTCCTTTGATCCTTTTTGAATAGGAAAACTCCTACCCCTTCGTGTGTCTCTATAATCCCTATTGTCTTTACTTCTGCTATATTCTTCCTTTCAATAGTGTGGGCTTTGTTCATCATTTTTGAAAGATTATGCTTTATACAATTTGGATTTTGCTATGATCTCTTCCATCAACCCATTAAAAAAATGTCATTGAATACTGCTCATCCAACCCCTTAACGACACCAACAAATCTTTCAAACTGTGTGACTAGTTCGTTATTCTACTACTTCGGAGTCAACAATGATTCAAAAGGGTTTCCAATCAAAATCAGTTGGAATCTTTGAATGAGAGCATTCTTGAAACCAATCACTTGAAAAAGAGAGTGGCTTTATTATTTTCATTCATATCAATTATATTCTCCTTACCTCTATTTGTAGCAATCTAATCTTCTAAAAAAGGGATATAAGGAAACAATATACTGAAAAATAATCTAGAAGATCCTACAAATATTTTTTCTAATTAAGAAGATTCCGTAGATATTTTCTCTAATTAAGAAGATTCTATAAATGTTTTCTCTAATTACAACACAATCCAAGACTGATTTGGGTTGCATGTTTCCTACTATTGAAGCCAAAATAGCGCATTTGCCTTCCATCGCCACCATAACCACTTTCAATTTCTCCTCTTGAACCTCTCAAGCGGAAATAGCGCTCAGCTTTTCCTATCCATCCCATACCATCTAATTCTTCAAGTACAGGAATGTCAACCTGCCTCCATTTATCACAATATTTCCCAAGAACGTTTCACTTGCTCATTCTTCTTGTGTACCTTCACTAGTGACTCTTCGATTTATAGAATTTGCTGCACTAGCACCTTTCCCACATCCTTAAGTCACAAATCTTTCCACAATCTTTTCCAACCACGTCATGTGTGAATCCTGTTGTGCAAGACGAGATTCCAAATTTGCTTCCATTTGGGTCAATCTTTTGTCTAATCTTGCTTCAAAACCCTCTGTAGTGCTTTCACTTGTGATTCCATCATTCTTTTAGTCACCGTGTGTAATAACCCATAGAGCAGGAAAGAACTTTGATAGCAGTTTATAGAAACTGGATCAGAAACTCAAAAATGGGGAACAAACACTTAAACAATGTAACTGAAAAGTGTGCATAGAAGTTTCAAAAGTTTACAGATACACCACTAGCACTAGGAGGGTTCAGGAAACCTCCCACTAATCAAGTAATATTTCTCACACACCCAAGACTTGAAAACGCACCTATATATATATACAAGCTTTCCAACACAACAACAAGCTTAACTACCAAGATTTTGCAACTGTTTGAATTAAAATAATTATCTGTATTTTCATTTTCCCTTGTTTCTTGTTTCTTCTTTCATAGACCTTTGTAATAGGAGTTCGAACCCTAATGGTCATGAAAATTGAGATTTGAATTGCTGAACAGCTTTGTTTTTTGTGGCTGTGTCTTGGAGTGAATTGTACGAGTTAGTTTGGAATATTCATCAAAACTTTTTGGCATGCGTAATGTGATGCCTGATATTTTGCTGGAAGACCACGAGGATTCCCAGTTAAAGTAATAAAGAAAAACTATTGCAATTTGAGGCACAATAATGGCTATATTTTTAAAATACTGTTTTTTATAAAATGTCTCATTTGTTATGTTTTTAAAATACTGTTTTTTATAAAATGCCTTATTTGTTATGTTTTTATAATGGCTATATTTTTTAAATAGTGTCATCTAAAACAAACAATGCCTCATTTGTTAGGATTAGCCCTACACATGAAATTTAGAGCTTGTGTTTAAGTTTTAATTTCCATGATTACCAAACCTTGTGGGATATTATACATTTAATTATAATTAAAAAAATAGTTCCCAATTGTTGAGTAAATTTTTGTTATTTAATTAATTGTAGAGTTCTTTCCCAGGGATCATCACAGTCTGGTCCGGTGCTTTCTCCGGCTGAAGTTTTAATTGCAATTCATGGAATTGATCCTGAAAGGGATGGAATTCCCTTGAAAAAGGTAGGTATGCAATGATATTTGGTTTTATTAAAAAGTGAAACATTTTTCACAATTAAGTGTTTTTATATGCAGGTGACAGATGCATGCAATGCTTGTTTTGAGCAGCGACAAACTTTTACGCAGGAAGTTATTGCAAGAGTTTTGAATCAGTTGGTGTGTTATGCGAAAATTGTTTTATATGTTTGGGCCTTTGCAAGTTAGTTGATCTCACACGGCAAATGATTTTTAATGCAGGTTGAGCAGATTCCTCCACCTTTACTATTCATGCGTACAGTGTTACAAGCAATTGGTGCTTTTCCAACACTGGTAAGAACCTTACCTTTCCCAGCAAATGTTATAATGTTTTCAATTATTTATTGTGGACTAGAATCAAAGAATTCTACGGTTAGTTGATTGTTTCCAACTATTAGTGTTGAATATACTAAAACTAGATATAAGATTAATCTCCCTTATGTCTAAAACACACATAGGATTATATATTTATAATGAAGAATGATACAAGTATATATGACAACAAAACATAAATATGGTAAATAGAAGATATTGTTAAAACCAATATCAACAATATCAAACTACCAAAAAGACTTAGTGAAAATATTTGCTAACTGATCATTAGAATTAACGAACTCAGTCTTGATGTCTTCATATACAATCTTTTCTCAAATGAAATGGTAGTCAATCTTAATGTGTTTGGACATTTCATGAAAGATATGATTAAAACTGATATGAAGAGTTGCATAATTGTCACATATAAGTGTCATTTGAGAGACATTTCCAAATTGTAACTCTCTAAACAATTGTTTAAGACAAACAAGTTCACAAGTGGTTGAGGCCATAGCTCTATATTTTGTATCTGCACTAGATATTTCCACAACACGTTTCTTGCTTTTCCAAGAAATCAAGTTATCACCAATGGAGACACAATACCCGAGGTAGATCTTCTATCAGAAAGAGATCTTGCCCAATCAACATCTAAATAGCAAAAAACTTTTGTATGGTTATTGGAATCAATATAAAACAATCCTTTTCCAGGAGATCCTTTAACATACTTTAATATATGGATGATTGCATTCACTGTCTCACTGACTGCATTCACCGTATTCATCTCCTTTAGTCTCACTGCCGCATGCACTTACGTTGCTGCTCACAGCTACTCTCTGCCGCCAGCCGTCACCACCATTCACTATTGTCTTATGATTTGTTGTTATTTTAAATTTTCCCAACAACTTGAATTTCATAATCTATGGAGAGTCAAAATCCATGAATAATTGACTCAGGTGCATTTGTTCATAATTCTGGTAATATCCTTTTGTTCTCTTATCTTTCCTTTCCCAAAACACATCATTTCATAATCCTAGCCAATGGATCTAGAGTAGCTTGCTAAGGAATGTCATCCCTCCCTTGTGCACTTATGTAGGTAAAACAATTCCTTCAAGAACTAGATTTTTTGAGATTCAGCCAATGAAGATTTATTGTGATAACCAAGTTGCTCTCCACATTGCTTTTAATATAGTGTTTCATGAGACAACTAAACATAAATTGACTGTGATTTTATTTCAGAAAATTTGTTGTCCAAGGAAATCTACACTAAGTTTGTTGGATTAAATGATCAACTTGTACATGTATTAACGAAATCTTGTAGAAGACCTTGGATAAAATTTATTTGTTCCATGTTTGGCACATACAATTTGTATGCTCCAACTTGGAAGAGTGTTAGAATAAATAGTGTCAAATTGTATTTATTGTAAAGTTGTTGTATGCCTTGTGTTGTACCTAGTTTCTAGATTTTCATATTCTCTTCTTTTTCCCCACTATTGTACTTGATGTATTCAAAGTTATTATTGTGAGATCCCAATAGAGGGAAATTCACTCATTCATTCTCTACTTATTTGTATTTTTCTCAAGTACAACATTTAAAGCTTTGCCAGTTAACTTTTCACTGTTGCGCAATATGGCAGCTTTGATTAATTGATTATTTTCTAACTGAAAACGTTCTACCGTTGTTGATAGGATATGTATATCTAGAAACCTAACAATTGTTCATTGAGATATGTTTGGTTTGAATTTGATATATTCGAACTAGTTATTGACTTGTATAAATTACTGTAGGTGGACTTTATCATGGGGATTCTTTCTCGCCTTGTGACAAAGCAGGTTCATATATTATTGTTTTGTTTTTTGTAATCTATTATACTGTTCTGTGTACTTACTCATTGCTAAATGAACTGTTGCAGATATGGAAATATCCTAAGTTGTGGGTGGGATTCTTGAAGTGTGTGCAGCTGACAAAACCACAGTCATTTAGCGTTTTGCTTCAGGTATTATTATATATGTTTACTCTTGTTATCAGGAACTTATTGTCATTTTTGAACTTACGGCACAGTTCTGAATTAGTTTTCAGAGTCTCTGTTCATTGTTGCGCCATTACATATCTTAGTTACATAAAATTTCTGGTCCAATGGAATATCAGAGTTGGCACACTTGCATGAAATCTTCGTGTTGCGAAATCCTCCCATTTGTTGCTTCGTTTTGTGACTCTTTTGCTCCTTCTCAATCCCCCAGAATATGGCTTTACTGCCACTTGGTGGTGTTTCGTAACTAACTCTGATGCATGGGTACTGTTATCCACTGATATTCTCCATCATGTGTCAGCTCTGCATGCTAGATTAGTGATAGTCATACAATCAGAAATATGACTGCAGTAGTTAGATTATTATAATTATTTTTTTTATGCGAAGAGAATTGCATGGTCTATATTCTAAAGAAATGTTTTAGATGACATTCAATCGTAGAGCTTATTTATCTGTTAGTCGAGACCTCACTTTTATATACCAGATGGGTTTGGGAAGGGTTAATAAATTGTAGAAGTCAGTTGCTTTTAATATCTTTTTTTAAATAATTACATTGCTCATACTTAATTATCGTTTTAAGTGAGTCTTTTTCCTTCATTTTTTCACAAGTTTGATATAGAAAATTTCAGTAGCTTAATTTCCTCTCGTTTTTTTTCTTGGGTATGCATTCTTTATTCTTTGAGTTTGAGTTTAGATGGGTTTTTTAAAAGCTTTTGAAATTTTTAAGACATGTCTGTTCTAATGCTTTTTCTTGTGGTGTATGCTTGCAAGCAGCTGCCTCCAGCACAATTGGAGAATGCATTAAATAGAATTTCAGCCTTGAAGGCACCATTGATTGCACATGCTAGCCAACCAGATATACAATCCAAACTTCCGAGGTTCAAAATTTCACTGGGCACAACAATGCAATGAATTTATCTTTTTCTTTCCTTTCTCTACATCTTATTGATGGTGATCTGGTTTCATTCTTGTTTAAAAACTGTATCTTTTTGGGACGGGGTGTAGCCAGTGTGTTTGTTTGTGAACAACATTGACTCTTAAGTTTTTGAATGTGTTTAGGGCTATGCTAGTTGTTCTTGGAATTGCATCCGATTCTCAAGTCTCTTCAAGTCAAGCACAAACTACTCAGACACAGATTACTCAGACACAAACTAGTCAGACACAAACTAGTCAAACACAAACTAGTCAGACTACTCAGACACAAACTAGTCAGACTACTCAGACACAAACTAGTCAAACACATACTACTCAGACACAAACTAGTCAAACACAGACTGGTGAGACAAGCAACTCAGACAAGGACACAGTGACAGAGAAATCTAAAGAATCATCTACCGCGAGCTAAAATATAAGCAACCATGTTGATGTGGTGGAATTTACTATTCAACTGCGAGTCTCAGGTTGAATTAGCCTAGACCTGACCGAGACTAACCGCAATCAGCTCTGTCCGACAGAGGAATAAGGAGCTAATACTCATAATTCAACACATTCAGATAGCTAAATAGTTGGGCTGTGCTCAGGGTTTTTGTGCCCTTCTCTGTACCTTGGCATTAGGCAACAACCTAGCGTGTACATGTATATAGATGGAATAATGTGTATTGGAATGGAATGGGTTCCTATTTTGGCCCCAATTTTATTTTATTTTATTTACTGTTTGAACATAATGTGTTCCTATTAAAATGTGTATATACACGTTGATTTTCCCCAGTGGAAACTTTTTTAGCGTTTGTCTTGCGCATCTGTATCTCTGGTTAAGACAAGGATCAGAGAGTATCTTTACACATACACTACTTTTTAGGATTTGCTTTTGAAATTGTAGAGTTACTTCGATCTCTAATTTATTTGCAACGATTTCATAATAAAATACGAAATTACGTTCATTTTTTGCCATTATGTTGGACTGCGAAATCAAATGCCTGAAGTGTTTGTTGCCATTAATTTGAACAATATATAGATGTAGTGACTTTAGTAATTAGTGAACTTGTGGTAATTGTTAAATACAAAATCTGTTTTCGGCTATCAATCTTCCCATCGCTTAATTTAGCATTAACTTCATCCTATATAATTTGGGCTTAATTTCCTTTTTAGCACTTTAAATCGATGATTTAAGTATAGTTGAAATTATCTTCTCTTATATTTTAAATTAATCAATTAGTCTAATACTTACTATTTAGTCTGGGGGCCACCTTTTATACTATTAATAGCGTGTCTAGCGACAGACCGATGTCTTTCTCCCTTGCAGGCATTTCGTACCTTGCGCAAGCTCCATTATTGTACATTTACTGTACAGTAAATATGGATTTGATTGTAAGAAATTCGTAAAATTAAGGGATTGAGATAGGAATTTCTTTGGTAGATTTTCTCCTTATATAGTCTTCGGAGATTTATTTCATGAGATTCCATTAAAGGGGATTTGTTTCTTGTATAACCTTGTTTTTCTCTTCGTAAAATTACCGATTCAAAATCAACAAAAGAAGATTTCAGTTTTTCCCAAAATGATTGGTGGACTCTAAGGCATTAGAGCTTCTACAGATTAAATGGAAAAAGCTATTATGCAAATGATTCCAACTTGTTGTATGCACTATGAGATGATTCTAATGAATTTCTTTTTTATGCAGAGAATGAAAGAATCTAAAATCCCCAATTGGGTATTAGTTCGCATGCAGTAAAACTGAGATTTATGAATGATGATATGCAGTGTAGAAATTTAAATCAACGAATGCTATATATGAATGCCATGCAGATGCTGAAGTAATCAAGATAGAACAACAAGATCGACTTATAAAGCATAATTTAACAGAAGTGTTACCCTAATCATGGAACAACAAGATCGACTTATAAAGCATAATTTAAAGAAAAATACTCAGAAATTAAAAGTCTTTAACAATGAATTTAAAAAGACAACAAAGCATACCAAAACTCAGAATTAAATGTTTGATTTGTTTAGTTAACTGAATCATAACCTGTCAAGAAGACATCTTGATTAATATAGACCCACTTTGGAATCCTATAGGTTCTTGATTAGAGACCAAATAGTGCAAATTTTCATTCAATCTCCAGACAAAACCAAACTTTAATTCTGAATTAACAGTGAACACAGAAAGAATGAACAAGGCAAAGCGCTTTGAAACTACTATAAAACAAAAATCAAGATTGTGAAAATAGAGCATATCATTGAAAGATGCAGAAATTAAAAGATAAAAGAAACAAGGTTTAGAGGCAAGAAGACAGTAAATTTATAGAATTGAAATCGAATTGACGTCAAGACAAACCAAGTTTTGT